GGATATTCCTTTAGGAATGCCTAAATGAGGGAAACTGGTCCAAGGAACAAGACAGGAGGCAAGCTACTCTTTGCTTGGCTATTTTCTAGAACCCTAGTTTTACAGAGTCTGATATTTTTTTTCCTCAAATCTTGACCTTCATCTAGTTTTATTGTTTACTCCCATCTGCTGGCCTGTGGTTTATTTAGTTCACTGTAATGAGATTCCTGTCGTAGTGGGCATCTGGTCCCACCAATACTGAACACATTATATCAAGTGTGTATGTGTATCAAGAATCAAGTATTCAACCATAGGGAATGGGTGGGTAGATGATGTACACACAGGTCAGTTCTCCCGGGGACTTGTTCACAGTTAGTGACTCTTAAATAGCTTTTCCTCTGGGCCTTGCTGGTTCTGGATTAGGTCCGTATTGATTCTACTATACAGCTGTACAATGGTCCCACTTTCATGGCCAGCATGTTAAGCTCAGGCTACGTCATGGTCTACTGAATGGAGGGAAAGTGTTTTTATTCTGAGAGAGACAACGTGTGGAAACCTCATTCAGAGTTGTGGTGGGGAAAGAAACAAGGGCGGTGATCTGCTGAGGACTGCCTTGCTGACCAGCTAAGTGAGTGCCTCGGATCTGAACCGCTCAGTCTCTACACCGAGCAGAAGCCTTTTCACTCCGTGCGGACATGAGGATGGAAGTGAAGGGCAGCTCTGCGCTTCTGGCCTTTGCCCAGCCTACAGGAGCAGGTGTTCACATGGCCTGATGTCCAGACAGAATGTCCACCCAGTCGGAGTGGACATTTGGGTCATGTTAGTGTTTGATTCTGAGCAGAACACTGATCTCAATGGTGCTTAGTCCTCCTGCTCTGTCCTACACTGTCCTACACCGAACAGGCTTCTCTCCTTGGGCTGACAAAACAGGAATGCTCCTGCCTCAGGGAAGCGACCTGATGAACTTCCCTGGGAACTGGGAGGTGTCTGGATCCCTGAGGGAGCCCTGGAGGCCAGCAGGAGCCACCTCTCAGCTGACTGTAGAAGGAAGTGCAAGATACCTAAAGGCTGTGTTACTTGGTAGGGTTACACTCTGTCCAGGATGACTCGGTCACCCTGATGCCTGCCCTCTCTCCTCTTTGGTTACTTCCTGGAGGAGCCAGCCATTCACCGAGAATGAACACAATGAGTTCCCAGGAGGCAGACCCCAGCCCAGGTGTCCTGATGTTCTAGAGATGTTCCCCAGAGGGTGGAGAGAGGCTACCTACACCCTAGGCATCCGGAGCAGCTGAGGGGGGTTGCAGGGATGTGATCTCTGATGTTCACCATGCTAACAGAACTCTCTCAGCTTCTGGGCTTCCCAGCATCCCCTGCACACACATAGGTTCTGTTTTGTTGGGGTCAGCTCCTGGTGAGGACTGCTGTCTGTGGGTCCCCCTGGCCTTGTATCCTTCATCAGAGTCTGATGACCCTGAGCTGTGCTCTCCAGTTGCCATTACGGGTGCGTTTATGTCTCAGTCCACAGAACTCCTGCAGGTCAGGGTTCACCTCTGTTACCTGTTCCCCCCTCACAGTGACATAGTCCCGCCAGCATTAGAAATCCCTGCTGACCAGAGAGAAAATCAAATTGGTCAGGTCCTTTCCCCAGTCGGGGCTCTCAGTGGGAGATAAGATACCACGGTCCAGGAGCTGTGGCAGGACGGGCAGAAGTGCAACATTGTGGCAACAGCAGTGTCTCTCAAGTAGCAAAAAGTCTGAGAACGTGGGAGGCAAAGGAGCCTGGTCAGAGGTGGGCTGAGACGCGCCACATCACCTTATCAACTTCCAAGCAACAAAGCTGGCTGACCCAGAAACTCAGAGAAAGGAAAATGTTATCTCCTGTTGCCTGGCAGAGGTGACGAGCCATGGATAAAACACTTTGAGGGTGAAGGACATTATCAGCATTCTCAAACGCCTTACAGTAAACACCGCTCCCCACCCCCAGCCTGGGCCAGTCCAGGCTCCCTGGCCACTGGACTGAGCAGATATCCTAATGTCAGTCAAACCCTTCGGTGGAGATTCAGATACCTGCCCATCTTCTCAAAGAGGCCACGGGGAGGGGCAGAGGTGCTATGAAAGGAGCCAAACGCTGTTACTTGTCTCCTCCTTCCTACCCTACACATTCTGAGTCCCCTGGGAGGTTTCCATTGACGTGCACGCTGGGTAGTGCTTGAATCAAGGCAAATCTGTCTCCTCAAATCTGTTACAGTAACAGGATCCAGGATGCTTTGCAACACACTTTTGTTACCATCAGATGTTTCACCAAGTGCCACACGAACACTGCCATGGAGACAGGGTGGTCTGTGCCAGGCTATTTTTGAGGGGAGTGACCGCCAACCAGCTCCCAAATCATGACACAGAGATTTCTTATTAGTTATGAAGTCTTAGCTTAGCTTAGGCTCCTTTCTGGCTAGCTCTTTTAACTTAAACTGTTTCTCTTTAGCTACGTTTTGCCTCGGGCCTTTTTGACCCTTTCTTTCTGTGTATCTTTTCCTGCTTCTTCTGTGTCTGGTTGGCTGCCTGGCTTCTGGCCCTGGAAGTGTCTGTACCCCTCTTTCTTCTTGTTCTCTTCTCTCCTCATTCTTTTTGAGCCTAGATTTCTCCTGTTTATTCTTTCTGCCCACCAGCCCCACCTATCCCTCTCCTGCCTCGCTAATGACTGCTTAGGTTTTTATTAAACCAATCAGGTGTCTAAGACAGGCAAGGTGAAACAAATAAAACACATTTCTTCATGATTATAGAAATACAGCATTAAACAAAAGCAGCACACCTTTACACAGTTAAAGGAATATTCTGCAGCATAAACAAACGCAACACATCTTTGCCCAGTTAAAATAATATTTTACAACAGCCGTCCCCATATGCAGGATCCAGGATGAGAGCCACTTTGAAGAGTCCCAGAGGTCATCTGGACAAACAGTGGAAGGAAGGAAGGGCCACTTCACACAGGAGGCGTGACTCTTGAGGCCAGTGGCTTGCAGACGGAGCCGCCTGGAGCATGGGCAGGTTCTGCAAACGGGGGCCTCTGATGGCCTGGAGTTGTCTGGAGCCCTGCATGGTGGTGAGGCAGAACCTTGCTAGTCAGACAGGATGGAGTGGGGGGATACTGCGAGGAAATACTATAACGTAGCATTGAAATATGTGGCCCTGTGACAGGAAGCATGGTCAGTAGACAGCCATTACCACCAACGGCCCATCTCCATAGATTTTTCCAGTCCCCCAAAGTGAGTTAGTGCCCGTAAAGCAGCGGCTTCCCACCCCTGACCCAACCCTGGCACTTCAGAGGCACCCCCGGCACTTGTTCTATGACTAGATTTCTTCACTCCCCCCATGTCTTCAGGACCCCTCCCCGGAGTCATGTCTTGGCATTTCCTCCGTCTTTTAGGTGGAACAAAACTCCACTTGTCGGGACATGCAGGTGGATTGAGATTTTGATATCCCAACACCACCTCAAAATTTGTAAAACATGTCTGGGCCATCTTCTTTTATTTTCTCAGCTGTCTCCTGTGATCCCAGTCTAGACACAGCAAAGCATCAGGAAAATGGCTGTCTGCATTTGCAGTGGCCAAGAAACCCAGGATAGGACTGAGAACCTTACCACCTCCCTCCGAGGGGTGTTCCCAAATGCCAGGGCACCCACACAAACTGTTGTCAGCGAAGGGGCATGCTCTCCTGAGAAGATCTGGAGTGCACAGACAGGAGAGAGCAGCTTGTTGTACCTCTGGCCTCACTCTCTGATGGACACCCGCTCAGCTGCTGTCTCTTAATTCAGTTTTAACACTGTCTATTTGGAGGCTGTGTCAGATGCCACACGTCAAACGTGCAGGCCCCAAGACGGCTGCCTGTCCAGATGGCAACCCCAGCTTCAAGCTGTGACCCGTTGTGACCAGCTAGTTGTGATCCAGAGCCGAGCCACCTCTTCTCTGGCTTCTGTTTATTTTCTGGAGCAACTCAGAGGACTGCCAAATGATTAAAGAGGGTTTAAGAGGCCATGCAAGAGGAAGGGGTGGGGCTTCCACACCCCTCCCACTGCCCTCCAGTTCAGCTAGCTGCCCTAAGCTCACTGACCTTATTCTTGTGGGATGCTGTAGAGGTTTCCCAATAGCAGACATGTCACAATCGGTGCCCTCACCTCGGCTGTCCTACCTCTAGCTGCCCCATCCTAAAGCAGCTGAGTAACCCCAGCCATCCTGTCTGTGTGCAAAAGATCCAACCCCACTTGGGAGATTCCAGGGCTCTAAGGAGCTTAGGTGAGAAGCACGAACAAATATACATTTTTTTTCACACTACTGAGAAATGCAAGGTGCCGCGTTGCTTTTGACTTGTGCTGGGTTGCTTTTACTGCTCCCTAAAACAAAACAAAACAAAACTGTTAACAGTGTTCAGCAGAAAAAGAACACTACACCATTGTTGTTGCTCAACGGGTGAGGCTCCGAGAACAATACCCCCAAGACGGGATGTTTTCTCATGCTGAGCAATTGGAGCGAGTTGAAACAAAGAGAAAATGGAAGCTTAGAGTGAGACTCCAGGCTGAGCTGGCTTTCCTGTCACGCTGGGCCACTTAGGCATCACTTCCGTCCCTTTCTAAACAGAGGGGTCTGTTTAGAAACACAGGGGACACTGGACCTGCCACACAGCATTCTTCCCTTCGGACCCCCCAGGACTCTGAGAGGGTGGCCAGCCCCGGTCCTCAGGTGTCTGGCCCGACAGACCTTGCATCAAACTGGATGTTCTCTGGGCACACTGAATGAGTGTTGGGGGCTGCAGACCCCTGGCCCCTTGACTTTCTCTGCCTGCCTCAGACCCTTTGCCTGCTGGAGTGAACTGAGCAAAACAGCTTGTTTACCTGTGCCTGCAGCTGCTTTGAGCACGAGACCCTGATGGCAGAGGAGTGGGTTCTGATGAGGCCTACAGCTGAAATATCCCGAGAGCTAGGGCATGGCTATCAGTTAAGGATCCCTGGAGCACACTAAAGTGGGCACTCTTGTGTCAAGGATGACCCTGTCTGTGTGCGTGTGTTTTTAGGTCTCCAGCTTAGTTTCCAGCTCACATGCTGTCCTGTAGTGCAGGCCCTACAAGTGAGTTCTCCGGAATCCCATTCCAATTCCATGAAGGTTTCCTGTGCCCGCACTCCCCTGCGCTGCAGAAATAGGGCCCTGCCATTCCTGAGTCGTGCTGGGCAGAGGGTAACTGACTTAGCGCCAGCAGTGAACCAGCCTCCCAGCATGCCTTTCTCTATCTGTTATTGTGAATTTCAGAGAACGGAAGGATTTCCCCTCTCCCTGCAGATGTGCAGAGAGGGCTTTTCAGCTCAATCACACCCACCAACGACTCCCAGGACAGTAACAGCCTGGGTGACAGCCAGAGCGGACACTGACTACTTCCAGGCTGCAGAGAGAAAACAGAAGCGGCCGAGAAGCTGGGAACTGTGCGGAGGGAAACAGCTGGCCGCCTATGAGACCGTGGTTCCCCTCTCCCTGCTAAGATGATGCTCGCAGCACACACTGGTTTGAGTTTGAGGAGGTGAGGGTGTCACTTGCCTGAGCTGCTGAGGCAAGGTCACACTGACACATCTTAGAGCCGTGGCTCATCGGAGATGTGGCTCGGCCAAGATGCCCAAGGGGATGGTGCTTGGACCAGGCAATATGGCTGCCAGAGCCCAGCCTTGTGCAGGGAACGGGTGGAATGCTTCTGTGATGGCGGAGCCTGTGTGGTAGCGCTGGGGTGTGTGTGGTGACTGGGGCAGCACTCGGGTTTGTGGAGTGTGTTGTGTGTGCTGTGTGTGAGGTAGCATTGTGAAGGCGGGACTTTCTTTGCATGCCCATTGGCCCTTAGTGCGGTAGACTTAGACACAACTTACCAAGTACACTGGTCGAGTTGACCTACTTAGAAAGACTGATGGTTGAAAGAATTTGTCATGTGGGGAGGGACCTTGTGATCTGAAAAATTTCCTTTTCTGTTAAACTGTATCAAATCATTCTATTAAAGTGTTGAATATATATACATATATATATGTAGGATTTTACAAATAAAAAAATAACTGGATCCATACAGGGTTGCCACCAAAGGATGTCATGGGAGGTGCGGGCTCATTCCCGGCATTAGGATTCACTGTGATCCAAAGCTCTTCTGGAATTCCTCCAGAACTTCTTATTTGGGCTCTGTAATCTGGACAATACACCTTTGGCGTAGAAACATGCATGGTCTTCTGACTTCACACCCCCGGCTTCCACACCCTGAAATGACTTTCTTCTGTAAACAAACACAGTTCGGAATTTGGAGGATAAATATGTTGAAAAATAATACTGGGTAATACAATTTTTGTTGGAAACCCAGAAATCAAACTGGCTCTCAGGCAGCTCACAAACTGGCCCTAGGGGTTTCCACTGATGCTTGAAGCCCTGGGCAGGCCAGCCCATGAGGAGTGGCTTCCTGTGGTGTCCACTTCAAAAGACAGCCTGGCGGCTCACACAGTGGCTGACTGATTAAAGAAACACTGTCCTTGTGAGGACCTTTTCCTGCCCAGCAGCCCTGGGTCATTTTCTAACATTCCCTCCTTACTACACAGCCTGCGATCTGTCCAGCTGAGGACCATCGAGGAGGACGGGACAGGTCTGTTTCATCCTGGAAGATGTCCAAGACCAGACAATGGCTCCTTCACCCATCCTCGAAACTGGGCTCGGGTTACTCCCTGCCCTAGTACCAGGAAATTTATTTTTAGATCAGGAAGACAGTGTGGGGGAGGGGAGGAGGGAGGGCGTGGATCCTGCCAGGGCAAACATTCGACAATCTGCTCTCAGAGCAGAAAGACTTGCATGCCTGTTTGCGTTTACTTTGAGTCCTGTGAGAAAGGGGCCGAGCAAACGATGGGCAAACACAGGGCTCTTCATGAGCACCCTGTGCAGGTGGACTCTCACCCAGACAGTCGCAGATGTCAGCCGAGCTTTCCTTGTCTGTAGACAGCTCTGGGTGCACCGCAGCCACAGCTCACCCAGGGCCTTTTCCCAGCCTGCCTCTGCTCCTGATGTGATCTGGTCCGGCTGCTTCTCCCGCGCTTCTCACCATCTCTGTGGTCTAGTTTTGTGTCAAATGGACACAAGCCATAGGGGAGGAGGGGCCTCCACTGAGAAAACACCTCCATAGTATCAGGCTGTAGGCAAGTCTGTAAAACATTTTCTTAGTGATTGACCCCATTGTGGTTGGGGTCACCTACGGGCTGGTGGCCCTGAGTTCTCTAAGAAAGCAGACTGAGCAAACCATGGGAGCAAACCAGGAAGCAGCGCCCTTCTATGCTCTCTGCATCAGCTCCTGCCTCCAGGTTCCTGCCCTGCTTGAGTTCTTGCCTTGGTTTCTCTCAATGGACCATGGGTCTACATACATAAGCCAGAGAAACCCTTTCCTCCCCAAGTTGCTTTGGACTGTGGTATTTTATTAGCCCCAACTAAGATACTGTCACAGATCTTGAATGGAAACGCGCAGTTCTATGAAATTTCATAGCTGAGATCATGTTAAGGGACAGGAGGCCATAATTAGAATATATTGTATGAAAAAAAATCAATTTTCAATTAAAAAGAAAAGAGAAGATATATCTCCTCCAAGTTAACTAGGCTGTGTGAGCCACAGGGGCCAGCCTCAGTACCCATGGAGTGGGGTGGCACATTTGTCCATTCAGGCCTGTCCCCCATGGGAAGTAAGCCTCAGGATTCTCGGGTCATGTAAACTTGTGGAGTATAGGACACTGGGGTGATGAGCCCTGGAAGTGTCCTGGGAGTTCCTAGAACTGTTGGGTGGATTTGGAACACCCACAAAGGATTCACCTCGCCATTCCTCAGCTTGAGTGTTGCCCGCCTGGGGCAGGCAGGCATGGCTACATCACAACCTGCTAATAGTGGAAGCAAATATGTATATAATATACGATGCACAACCATAAACTCTCTCTCTCTCTCTCTCTCTCTATATATATATATATATATATATATATATATATATATATGCACAGTCACTCACTCTCACACACACATGCACACATGCACACACACACTCTCTCTCTCACACACATACATGCACACACGTTTTCTCTCCCTTGTCTCCACGGCCTTGTTCGGGGTCTCCTCTCCACACAGACCGCATGGGTTGTGGGAGGCTCTGCTCTGCAGACTTGGCGGCCACAGGTGCTCTTCTTGGCTCTGCTGTCGGCAGGAGCCGCACTGCTGACAGACACAACCTCTCTGGCAAGTGCCCAAGGTCACCTGTTCCTATAAAGAACTCTTACACCTTGAGTGTTTTATTATTGTTGTCGCTGAGAAACAGAGAAGGCCCGTGCTGTTTCTCCAAACACACACTTATAGCCCCGTGGACCTCCCCTTCCTTTCTGCCTCCTCCCTCTTCTGTCCCTGTCCCGTCCCTCTCTTGTCCTTAATCCCCAAGAATTGACTTAGAGCTTTTGTCCCTCTTTCTTTCTTCTTTCTCCTTTCCTAGTTTCTCCCCTTCTTCTCTTCCTCACCCCTCCTATCTCCTGCCTCCTTCCCTGCCCCCCCACTTCCTCATCCCTCTTCCTGTCTTCTTTTCTCTCTCTTGCTTTCCTAGGGCAGTGTTTATTCACCTCCCGTACCCTGTGGTGGGTGTGCAGATGGCTTGGGTGGGGTGGTGTCTTTCACAGCTCTGTGAACCTCTGAGCTCACGTCTTACCCCAGCTGCACAGGACCTGCTTCGGTAAATTAATTCTATTGCTCCAGTGCCAATTAATGCTGGCGTCACTAACATATGCCTCACGGCGCCCTCGTTCCTAGGGCACATAAACCTTGCTGCAGGACACCATGAGAAAGTGCCGTTTAAAATATGCGCGCAGCTTTGGTTTAGTGCATTTGCTTAATTGGGTGACACTAGGCTGACCAAAATTAGCTAAAATAATCCATGAAACAATAAAGAGAACACAAACATTTCATTGTGGAAGCAGAACGGTCTAATGGCCCTGATGATAACAGCTATTGACTCTGCAGTCGCGTTAGAATAAATCTTCTCATTCAGCCCCTTCCACGAGAAGAGGAGGGAAGGCCTCAGAGAGGCCACACAGCACATCCCAAGTCGCTCAGCGGTAACTGGAGGTCTCCTTGTCTCTCAGCCTGACCTCCGGACCTTCAGTGCCACTTAAAGTGAATTTACCTGATGTGGGCATCAACATTTAAAACAAACAGTGATTTACAGTCTGTTGAGACATTGCTTTAAGAAATTAGAAGGTTTGCAGCAAGGTTCCTTTCTCACATGTAAAATATAACTGCCTTTCCAAGAGGATATGAGAATGGATTTCGTGTGAGTGTGTCTGTGTTTGTGTGTATGTGTATGTTTGTGTGCTTGTGTATATGTGTGTATGTTTGTGTATAGGTGTATGTGTGTGTTTGTGTATATGTGTGTACTTTTGTGTATTATGCATATATGTGTTTGTGTATAGTTATGTGTGTGTGTGTGTGGCTTTTCTGCATGGGATTTTCTCTTGCACATGCCCCCTTGCCACATTTAGAAACATGATTGTAAAGAAAGAAGGTGTTTTCTTTATTTTGTTTCATTTTTAAGTGCACATGTGTGTGTGTTCATGTGTGTGCATGTGTGCACACGTGTGTAAAGTCAGATGTCAGCCTTGGATGTTGTTCTTCAGGTGGCATCCATCTTGCTTTCTGAGACAGAGTCTCACTGGGACCCGGGGATTATCAGGGAGAATAAACTGGCTGGTCAGTGAGCCCCAGGGACATGCCTGTCTCCACCACTGTCGTTGGGATTATAAGCGTGTGCTCCCAGGTCTGGCTTTTTACATGGCTCCGAGGATGGAACTCAGGTTCTCAGGCTGCCTCAGTCCCTTAGAAGAAGGTTTTACCAGTGCAACGCCAGCTTCCCAGAGACTCTTTCACGTCGGGATGAGTCTGTGGCTCATGTGTGAGTGTGGCGGTGAAGTCCTTTCCAGCTGCCATTTGAGGCCGGTCCTCTGAAATGGACCCCTGCACGGTCGCTCAGAGTGTGGTGGCTTCCCCTGCTCTAGTCCATTTAGTGGGGAAGAGTCATATTTTTTCTTTTCTTTTTTTTTTCTTACTGCACTGTGTTCAAATGCCCAACCTCCATCAGCTACAATGTATCAAACCTGCTGAGGAAGGCAGAGAATCAGCGACCTTGCCCTTTCCCTAACCCACAGACGCTGAGTTTGGTCATGTGACTTGCTGTGGTCAATGGAGTATCTGTAACTGTTTACCATCTCCTGCTCCTTCTGCACCCCTGAGAAAAGCCTGGGCCCTTGGAGGAAAAGAGGCAGCAGACATCCTAACACCTCGCCCACCTCAGTTCAGCCACTGGTCAAGCCCACCTTGACTCAGCTCGGGTTGAGTGTTAAATGTGTCCAGTGTCTACACACGACAATCACAAACCAGCTGAGGTATACACTGACCAGTAAAGGTGTGGCTGTCGCAGGCAAGGACAGAGTCCGTTTTAATGAGGCAGCAGCTGAGCTAGGGGTTTCATCTCCCCTCCGGAGGAGTGTTGGCCACACATTCCTCACCTCCCAGGACTTGGCAGAAGTAGACCTCACAGAGCCAAGCTCCACCCACAGGGCAGCAGGGGTTATCTGGAAGTCGGACTTTGAGTTGGCCCAGCCTCTGAGTTAGGAACATTGCAGGCTTCTGGTCTCCTGTGTCTTGGGGTGAACTTTGTATCTGTTCAGTTTCTAGAACAAGAAGTGTGTACACGCACACATGTGCATACACACACAGACATACACACAGACACACAACCCTCACACAGAGACAGACACCAAGAAGAGAGAGACAGACAGACACACAGACAAACAGACACAGACAGGCAGACAGACACAGTGATAGACATACACAGAGAGACACACAACACACACAGAAACAGGCACAGAAAGGAGGTTGGCTCCTTATCAGGATAAATCATTCAGATTTGAGGAACTGTCTCAGAGGAGGGGCTGGCTAGGGTTTAACCTCCTCCTAAGGAGAATGCCTACCCTCAGTGGCATTCACTTCCTCCAACAAAGCCACACCTCCTAATCCTTCTCAAGTAGTGCCACTCAAATATATGAGCATTCAAATATATGAGACTATTGGAACCATTATTATTCAAACCAATAGAGGCAAACTCTACCTTAATATGAACACAAACATAGACTTGGTATATATCTCTAGGGCCACGTGACCCACCCTACCAATGCACATGACTACACAGAGCACAGGCTCACTGTGAGTTTGCCAGAAATTCTAGGGTCTGGATTTAATCTTTAGACTGGAGTTTCTGTGGATAGGCCTCAGAGGGTCACCAGCTGATCAAACTAAACTAAAGGATACATGTTTTTTAAAAATTTGTTTCTTTTTCTTTTTTTCTTTTTTCTGTTCAGATTTGTTGGTAGAAGTTTCTGTCCCACCTGGTCCTGCAGCTGTTCAGTCCCAAAGAAACACACAGAGGTCTACATTAATTATAAACTGATTGGCTCATTAGCTCAGGTTTCTTATTAACTCTTACATCCTACATTAACCCATAATTCTTCTCTGTGTCAGTCACATGGCTTAGTACCTTTTATCAGCAAGGCATGCTCATCTTGCTTCCTCTGTATCTGGGTGATGACTGCAGACTGAACCTTTTCTCTTCCCAGAATTCTCTTGTTCTTGCTACCCCACCTCTGCTTCCTGCCTGGTCGTCCAGCCTATACTTCCTGCCTGGCTACTGGCCAATCAGCATTTTATTAAAGCAATACAAGTGACAAAAATTTAAAGGGTACAAGACCATTGTCCCACAGCACAGATTTTTATAATTCAGGAATGTTTTTTTGCAAGAGGATACAATTCTGAACTCTCCTGTGGTTTTAGAGAAGGGGCAAAACTGTGCACTGCTAGCCCTACTGACTTTCTTTCTTTTTTTTTTATTAAAGATTTCTGACTCTTCCCCACCACTGCCTCCCATTTCCTTCCCCCTTCCCCTATCAAGTCCCCCTCCCTTGTTAGCCTAAAGAGCAATCAAGTTTCCCTGCCCTGTGGGAAGTCCAAGGACCACCCACCTCCATCCAGATCTAGTAAGGTGAGCATCCGAATTGCCTAGGCTCCCACAAAGCCAGTTCGTGCATTAGGATCAAAAACCCATTGCCATTGTTCTTGAGGTCTCAGTAGTCCTCATTGTCCGCTATGTTCAGCAAGTCCGGTTTTATCCCAGGCTTTTTCAGATCCAGGCCAGCTGGCCTTGGTGAGTTCCCGATAGAACATCCCCATTGTCTCAGTGTGTGGGTGCACCCCTCGCGGTCCAAGAGAGCACGAGCAAGGAACCCTACTGACTTTCTAGAGCCTGGCTCAGAGCCTCTCTCACTAGGGAGAGGTGTTTCTGGTGTCTCTCCCAGCTCAGAGCCTAACTTGAGGGAGTTGCTGGCAGGTATTCCTCAGGCACCATGATGTTCAGCCTCCATTATCATAAGAGAGCTAAGATGAAAGGCCACTTTGAAGGCTGGCAAACTCAGCTGTTACCATGGCACCCAGCAGCTGGGATGGCACGTCTCCTTGTTATGACAGTGTGACTGGGACACAGCACATGCTCTCGTTCAGTGAGTACGTTTCTGTGCGTTAGAGCTGAGGCATCTTCAAAATCCATCTGGCACCAGGTTCCGTAAAGAAGGCCACGCTGAGCCGCAGTGAGATGGAAAAAGAGGCAGGAGATGCAGCGAGGAATGGGTAGTAAGAGGGCCTTGACTCTGTGCGCATGACCCGTTGTACACCAGTGAGTGTGTGTGTGTGCATGTGTATGTGCGTGTGAGTGTGTGTGTGCGCACATGTGCATGTGTGAGTATGTGTGCATGTGTGAGTGTGCGTGTGTGACTGTGCATGCATGCATGTGTGTGCGTAAGTGTGTGAGTGTGTGTGTGTGCGTGCATACTCTTGTCGAGAGACTGTGACAGTCCACAGGCTCTGACTCCAGGACCCCTCTCCTGTCAGAAAGCCACCCTGGGGAGTGGCAGAAAATGTAAAGAGACAACTAAGCAAACATGAGGTTCCCAGTTAGGTCACTGCACCATGAGCAGTCGGGAGTGGGGGTATGTGCTTGTCATCCAGGTGCTGGGGTGGGGCACAGAGACAGGATCCCGGGACTGGCTGCTAGCTGTTTAACCTAATCATGTAGCCCTTCAGGTAGAGACCCTGTTCCAAAAAGCGAAGTGAGCAGTACCTGGCAAGCAACCTCCAAGGTTGCCTGGCCTTCATACATGCGCTCCCTCAGCCTGGGCCCCGACTAGACTTATCTACCACAGGTCCCTAAAGATACGTGTTTGAGTGCTACCTTGGGCCCCACCCCCTTCATTTCCACACTGTCTGGAGTCCCTACTAAGAACACTGTAAGAGCCTTCTGGTTTCCTGGTTTGGTTCCCCTGACGGTTGGAGTCTTATCTGTGCAAACACAGAGGTTCTTTTATAGCCACTGCTTCCAGCAGTCTGAGCCGTGTGGAAGCTGGCACATCCCTTTTACTGTTGGAGTTTATTCTTGTTTTCCCTGAATCTGTGAGATGCTAAGGACTGAGATTATGGATGAATTGTTTTCTGTCCTTTCAGGGCCAAACAACATGATGAACACACAAGGCAAGAGCTAGCAGAGGGGCAGGAACACACCGGAAGTGCCTAGCTGTAGCGGCAAACAAGTACGCAGAGATGATGTGTGGAGGGACCGCTGAGCAAGGTGGGTGTGAGCCCATGTGCCTGTGTGAGTGTGTATGCGTTAGTGCTGACCCAGGAGCCATCATTTGGTGACAGGGGAGGGACTGTTCACCAGCAGACAGGAATGATGATGATAAACTACGTTTTAAAATTCCAGCTTCCTACTCTTCGGCTTCATAAATGGCTCCGCGTTTCCGGTGCTGCGCGTGCAGTTGGGGTGCTGCCGCATTGCCAGGACACTGGGGAAGAATCACTAATGGAGATGATTGCCCGTAATGACGCTCTCTGGAAGTGCCTGGCTGATTAAATGCTGAAGGAAGAGGGCATAATCGTCGGAATTTCAATTAAACGCTCGTTTCATACTATCAGAGGAAGAAGCAATTTCATTTTCACTCCTGGCCGCAGCGCCACGGTCTGTCAGAAACTTGCGGATTGTGTCTCACTCTGCGGCTGAACTGCAGCTCCAGGCCTCTGTGCCAACGTCAATCATCCAGAGCAGCGGAGTGTAGCCCTCAGCCCCCACTCCTTCCTGAGGTCAGGGATGCTCCCCTCCAGGCCTCCTACAGTAATTACCGCAGGGAACCAGGTTTGCACAGGGCTGCGAGGTGAAAGGGCCGTGTGCAGTCAAAGCCCACTGGGATTTTGTGCACAGAGTCACACACTCTGAGAGTTCAGCCACCTTGGAGGTTTGATGAGAGATAGTCCCCTGCGAGGGTCCTCTGAGAGACCAGTGCCGGACTGGAGCAACAGACTTAGGTCTGGAGAGAACCTGAACTACCGCCCCGCAGGGAGCTGAACCTCCTCCCTCTTTCTATTTCTTCTCTCACGCCCCCTCTCTCACCTTGCCTCCCCCTTCACCTCCCTCTTTTCTTTTCTTATCCTCCTGGCTCTCCTCTTCCACCTGCCTCTACTAATATCTTTTCTGAGGGCCTCTATGTCCACTCTCCCCGCAGGGCAGTGTCTGTCCCTGGCTGTGGTGTGGACTGGACTATTTTTTCTGCTCCTCAGAGGCAGAGGTTTCTCCAGTTGTTTTCTGCTTCCAGGGCCTGGGTCACCATTGGCCAACAGTGGTTTTCAGCAACCATTTCCTTGGAGGCCTCCTGCCTTACCTGTATGGCTTCCCTGGCCAGAGCAGAGCATCTGTGGTCTTAGGGATAGCCTAGGGCCTACTTCCTTCCTCCAAGAGTCCGGATACACTCGCGCAGCTCTGGTGCAGGACATCACTGCTGATCATAGAGAGGAATGGTTGGGCTGATACAAATGTATGCAGGTTTTATCCCATTAACATCACTTCATGATGTCACCCTTGTCAGTGGCGTTCAAGGCATTCATCACGTGTTCACGGTAACGCTGAAATACATGCACACACCAGTGCCAGCAGAATAAAACTATACAGCACACACAGCTACGAATGGTGCATGGTGTTTGGCGGTACTGATGCGTGTCTGTCCTGGTTGCTTCCTGATGCTGTGCTGTGGTGAAAACCACAACCTTGGTAAAGAAATCTGGGGAGGAGAGGTGTTATTTCAACGTACACTTCACAGTCCAACATCAGGGAACTCAAGCGGGGCAGGAACCTGGAGCCAGAGCCAGAGACCATGGAGGGGTGCTGCTTACTGCCTTGCTCCTCAGGGCTTGCTCAGCCTGCTTTCTTAGAGAACCCTGCCCAGGAGTGGCCCCGCCCATAGTGGGCTGAGCTCTTCCATGTCAGTCATTAATGAAGAAAATGCCCGTACAAACTTGACTTACCTACATGCCAATCTTATGCAGGCATTTTTTTTAAAGATTTATTTATTATGTATGCAGTGTTCTGCCTGCATGCATACCTGCACGCCAGAAAAGCATACCAGATTTCATTATAGATGGTTGTGAGCCACCATGTGGCTGCTGGAAATTGAACTCAGGACCTCTGGCAGAACAGGCAATGCTCTTAACCGCCGAGCCATCTCTCCAGTCACTAGGCCTTTTCTTAACCAAAGCTCTTCTTCACTAGAAGATCCTAGCTTGTATCAAGTTGACCAAAAGCTAAACCAAAACGAAACTGTAACAGTATGCATGCTACTAGTGCCAGTGTTTATCATCATGTTGCTATTGTTGTTATTACTGTTACTGTTGCTACTTTAGGATGCCTTCCTGTGAACAGTTTTCTGGGTGAGACAGTGACTGTCTGCACCTCTCCCTTCTCTTGATCACCTCCGGGTGCTGTGCCAGGCCACTGTCCTGTCCCTCTCCATTTGTTAAAGTGTAAAAGCGTCCCCTGTGATGCTCTCGCGGGGCAAATCCATCCGTGGTGTATCTCTGTGTCCGCATTGTTAAACCCTGCAAGACTGTTTTACTCCTGTTCCCAGGGGATTGATTTGTACAGCCCCCCAGGTGCTCACTTTGCTGTGAGTTGACCTTTAGGCAGAGACACGGGGGAGGATTCTGGAGTGCATGGCCATGAAAATGGATCCACTTCAGAAAAACAGGTTATGTGCGGGCCTTTATGTGACTCCATGCTTGGTGGTTTTCATGGCTGGCACTCAGATGTCACTTTGGGCCACTTTGTATGAAGGGCTGTTTCATGGGGTGCCAGGTTTTGATGTCCTCCTTTGCTGCTGCTTTCTTGTTCTCACCGCTCCAGGACAGAAAGAGCCCTGGATCCGTTCCTTTTGGTGCTTGTTTTAAGCCTGGAGAGTTTGACTTCAACTCTGCAATCTTCATTCACTGGCAGCTTCGGTTGTTCTCTCTCTCTTTCTCTCCCTCTGTATCTCTCCGAGGAAAGGAAAATCCAGAGTGTCATCTTTGACACTGACTTTGAAATGATAATGTGTGAATTACTCTGCAGGCTAAGATCTCGACGTGATCCCAAGGAAACCCTGCAGGCTAATGTGAATATATCATCCCCTACAAGAGGCGGACTCCTTTAATTTCAACTAGAATGTTCCTCTTCCTTCTTCCTTTTCTTTCTCATACTGTATATGTTTTAACGAGCACCACCAAAGAGGGGCTTGCAAGGGTCAGCCCTGTTAACAACAGAAGCTGGAGGAGCCTCAGCTTCTGGCACAGGGGCCCAGCCATGGAGAGCTTCCTTTGTCCCGGGAATGCTATGATCTGTGGACTGTGGTCTATGATACAGGGCAGCAGAATGAAGGCAGGTTTCCTAGTGCCTGACCAAACATCTGCCCCTCTCTGTGTGTCCCAAAGCTCCCCTCCTCCACGCCTGAGTTTCCTCCTTCCTCGCTTAGTGCCCAGAGCCCCGGAGCTCAGTGAATAGAGAGCTACAGGCCTGCCTGCCTTCACGGGTGCCGATGGCTCACCTGAGCGCCCAGTGTGGCCTTAGAGAGTGTGCTAAAAGAACTGCCCAGCTCTGGGCTGGGCTGCCCCCGCTAGTTACATTATCAAATGCTCGTCATGACGGAGGGTAGCCAGTCCTCACTCAGGCGGGGCCAAGTATGTTGGGCACAAAAAGTCTTGCAATACCGTGTGCTAATTCCTTACTCTGATGAAATTATCACGGAGCCGGTTCCTGTTTGACGAACTGATATTTAGATGAATCAGTAGGTTTGGGTAGATGAAGATCCAGGAGAAGTCGGGAGGTGGTTCCCTGTTACCATTAATCTCGCCACTTTCTTTCAAAGAGGCCTCAAAGTTGATGTCTGTAGCAGCTGTGGGTTGAAGAGTGACCTTCTGATCTCCAGGTCCTGTGAACGAGACTTCATTTGGAATGAGATCTTCGTAGATATCATCCAGTTGAGATGGAACACGAGAGTAGGTTTTCTCTTTTTAAGAAGGAAAAACAGGTGGGGAATAGAGGCTCAGCAGGAGGGCGTGAGATGGCAGGATTAGAGGCCTCATGCACCTGCAAGCCAAGGGAGCTAGCCAGAGGCTAGCAGAAGACCCTAGGGAAGACCCTCTCTCCACCTCCCCGGGGCTGAGCTCTGCGGACTGCAGCATCTCTGGTATCCAGTGAGCAAAGCAAACATGCCGCTCTGCTCCCAGGTTGAGATCTGTCATGCTGCCCCTAAGACAACTTCTTACCCTTTCTCCACTCTCAATTCCCTTTTGCCTCAGGTATACAGGAATATAAAATAAATGCAAATCAGACATTTACTGATTATAAGTCTGCTGTGATTATGTTCATTGTTAATAAAGTGAGGATTGGCTGGTAGCCAGCAACAGGTTTAGGCAGGGCAATCCGACTGCGGATGCTGGGGAAAGAAGGGCAGAGCTGAGGAGATGCCGGTCAGCTGCTAGGAGAACAAGACTTGCAAGAGAGTAGGTAAAGCCACAGGCCACATGGAAAACACAGATTAATAGAAATGTGTTGACTGAGGTCTCTGTCCTGCCAGGTCCTGCAGTCATTTAGTCCCAAAGAAATCACACAGAGGTCTACATTAGCTATAAACTGATTGGCCTAGTAGCTCAGACTTCTTATTAACTCTTATAACTTGTATTGGACCATTATATTTGTCTGTGTAAGACATGTGGCTTGGTGCCTTATTCGGCCAGGCAGTCACATCTTGCTTCTTCTGTGGCTGGGTTAGGACTGCATAGTAGGACTTTCTTCTTCCCAGAATTCTCCTGTTCTCCTTGACCCGCCTCTACTTTCTTTCTGGTTGTCCCGCCTATACTACCTGCCTGGCTACTGGCCAATCAGTGTTTATTTAAAATATAATCAACAGAATACAGACCATTGTCCCATACCAGAAATGGGTTAATTTAAATGTAAAAACTAGTTAGTAAGATTCCTGAGCTACACACTGAGCATTTACAATTAATATAAGCCTCTGTGTTGGTAGTTTGGAAGCGGCTCCCAGGAAGGAAAAACTCTGCCTACATAAATCATAATGAAGCTCATTTTGACACAATTCTTTGTAATAAATTTTACCATTTATTAAACACAAAAGAAAATTCGCATGCTAATGAGATGGACGTGCTTGTTTATTTTTACACAAGGAATTAAATCTTGTCTGAATGTTTGATACGGCAGGGCACATAACATTCCTATTTTTCAGAATGATTAATATTTTGTCTTTATAGCGGTCAGTGCTGAGCTGCCACTTTGCATAACTAAGCAGTACAAATGGCAGAAGTACATTTAGGGAACTTCAGAAACCGTTGAAAATACAATTCTAATGTTTTTCCTTAGAGAATCAGCTTTCTGTCTTCCTTTTTTTTAACATAATTTTTATTGATTTTTTTTGGAATGTCAAACCATGCACCCCAAATCCACTCATTTCTCGTTTTTTCCATGTCCATCCTCAGCCCTTGTAACCTCTCCCATTTAAAAAAAAAAAAGGTAAAAATTAAAAACCAAACCAAACCAAAAACAAAAGTCACCACAACCATCTCGCTGACGGCTCTGAGCCACAGCGGCTCCTCTATCAACGTGGTCTTCCTGAGCTGTTCCAGCTGTGAGTCTCAACCATGAGCCACTTGGCTCCCCTGTCTTTCCCTCCTTGCACCTCCTTTGTTCATCCTA